ACAGCGGCGGCCTTATCCATTGCGAGGCTCTGGGCGGCAGATCTTTGCGAGGCCCTTGTCCTTTGTGCAAAGTATGTGAATTGAAATAGTAGGCACTTATTAATATTAATATATACTGTACTATAAATTAAATTTATTTTATTGTTATAACTAATAGCCAAGGATAAAATAAAAAGTTTTATGTATCAACTTTTTTCTACTTGGTTGTTGCGCGAGGCCCCGGGCGATTGCCCTGCTCGCCACCCCCTAAGGCCGCCACTGTTGAACCACAAGTATATATATTATATGTACAGTACTTGTGGCCAGTGGCGTAGCGTGGGTGTCAGCCGCCCGGAACGAAGGAAAATTTCACCGCCCCTTTATTTAGGTATCTCAATTTAAAAGACTAAAATTCAGTTTCGTCACAGAATAAGTAATGAAAAATTCCGTGCTACTGTTGCCACCTTTTTAAAATCTCCGACCCCGGACGGCAGGTGAGGTTTGTTCGAACAGAAGTTCCTGACAAACGCGTATATCATTTCGCAATGCAAAGAATAATTTGCAGTGCATGCCGGTTCTAAATCAGTTACAGTTAGCGACTAGGGAGACTTGGATAGGAGTAACGCAAGTGACCTAGCTCTATTGGATATTGCAGGTGTATATGATTACAAATGAATCGCACAATGAAAGAAAAAAAAAAAAACAAATAACAAAAATAAAAAAAAGGTCAACAGGTTGCGCACGATATCCCCGGACGGCGAGTCGATTCGCGGACTATCCGGATGGATGGTAACACTATTGCCGTGCTCATTTCAATCAGTCCGAGTCGTAGGTGGACGAAAATATGAAATAAAATGGTTTAAATTCCTACAAGATATTATTATTATTTATTGTAAAATTTTGCCACCCCCTAAAAAGTGCCGCCCGGGGCGGGCCGCCCCTGCCGCCCCCTACGCTACTGCTGGTGGCCCAAAACTCCTTGACTTCTTCCAATGCGGCCCAGAGAAACAAAAAGGTTGGACACCCCTGTTCTAGACACTCTTTTCAAGGAAAAGTTAGTCTCATGCAATTTCATCTTGTTTTGTAATTACAAGTAGAGCATTGATTATCCAAATCAATTGGGGACTGGGGTTGTTCAGAAAATCAATTTTTCGGATAACCAATTACATATGAAAAATATATTAACCTATCCCATGTTGAAATTTGATCAAATCCCAGCACATCCTTAAGTATCCTCTCATGGTCGCACCAGTGCTGCCAGCTAAAACATGCACACCAACAAAAATAATATTGGAGTAACCCAAGACATAGCCAAAGATTGCAGTGCCACAGCACTAGCGGAAATTTAAATTTGCCGACTGGAAAGCTTTCGGTTAATTTATGTTTCGATTGATTGACATTCAGATAATCAATGCTCTACTGTATTTCATATTTCTATTGTAACTAGGGACCTAAATAGTGCAACTCACATTAACCAGTTGACCGGTGTGCATACGATTAAAACTTGCAAATGTTTTCATAACCCCTTCTGGGCTCTTCCTCAGGCTTCTGAGGAAGAGAAAAACGTTCTCAAGTTTTAATCGTATGCACACCGGTCAACTGGTTAATGTGAGTTGCACTGTTTATATTCATCCCAGTGTGTTGTGCAGTTAACTAGGGACCTAAATTAAAATAACGCTGATTTCAAACTGTCACTTTTTAGTGTGCCATTGTTACTTCATTTGCTATGACTATATTTGCAGTGAAACATTCTGAAGTCTGTATACAAATGAAATGTTACATTGATAGCTTTGGCATACTTAGCAACTAACATCAATCTTGCATTATAGTGCAATGACCCCAGCCTTTGATTTTATTTAGATCTTCCTAGCTTTACAGTTGGGAGTGTACTTACCCCCACTACTGGGGTAAGTGCACTCCAAACTAAGTGTTTTTTAAAAACATATTCTGGCTCAACAAATAACACTCAAAACTTGTGATATTTACAGCCTGTTGCTATAGAACCAGGTAAAGTTATTCCAGTAATTGGTTTTTGAAAATCAGGTAATCTTTGTTCTGCCTCACTGGCTGAAACTTTCAAATTTTGGAAAATGAAGAATTTTTGGGTGCACTTACTTCACCCAACTGTAATTCAAAAGAATTTGAATTCTTTGGCTTTTTTTTTTTATAATATGCATCCAGTTCTATTTTTATTTTTCAATTCATTCAGTACTACAGAAAGCAAGTTTTGGAAACCACATTTTATGAAAGGTCACTCTTGGATCCATGGAACCTTTTGATTTGATTTTTTTCTGATACAGAATAAGTGATAGTGTTAAAAAATTCCCTAGAAAAGACTAAAATGTCTCCATTTTCATCACGTCAAATCATCAGGAACAAGTCTTCCATTGCAGAGATGACCTTTTATTAAAGAGGCTACGCCTCTGCAAAACAGTCTAAAAAGTTCACAGATGAGAAGCCAACAATTAAAAAATATACAATTTTTTTTAAATTTTCATTTTAGTCTTTTCTATGGAATTTTTTTTAACATGTAAATTCATCAATCATTTTTTAAAAAAGTGATAATGTTGTTTGAGAAAAACAATATTTCAATCATAAATCTTCACTATATCTGAACAGAATATGCTTTTTCAAAAATGGTTGTAACTTTAATAACCACAACAACAAATTTGCAAACCATGATTATCAGTTTCTTACAGAAAATATCAGTTTACAAATATCATTCAAATGTAGATGTTATTATATTAAGTAGAATTAATTTAAGAGATTACAAAATTTTTTCCTTGGTATATGAAATTTTCAAGAATCTGGAAAAGAAAATATCTGCAATAAAAGAAACAAATGAATGACAAAATGAATCAAGATTAATTTAACACTGAATCTACTTGCTTTTTCTGGCAGCAGCATTACTACTGTGCATCATATTACAAATGACGAAACAACTGTATTTGAATGTTTTCTTTAACACAACAAAATCTCATTACAATAATTAATACGAATCATATTGCATTCCATTCAATTACACTTTCTTACATTGAATGTAGCTTCTAAAAGTAAATCTAATTTGTTAGATCAAACTCATAAGATTCACTTGTAAGTCCATCAAGGACTTCCATCAAAACTTCACAGAACTTAAATTCCTTATCCAACATCACGAAAAGACGATCAAAATTTTATATTCATTAAACAGATAAAAATAAACCCATTTTGACTAAATTTTCCAAAGTAATCCATTTTGGTACATATTTCGTAATATTTAAAATACAACTTTTCTTCCATTAAATTTGTGTCATTTATTCATTTATAACTTCTCTTATAATTATATTATCTTGAAATTTTTTTAAGTTAAGGAAACTATGCAATTATCAATCTTACATTACTTTTGTTACTTTTCAGTGATTTTTTTTGTATCTAATTTTTTTTTTTCTGGATATTTTAAACATTGCAAAAGACAATAAAGATATATATATTAATTGATACATATAAAATTATAGAAAAGAAAGCTATTTTAAATGTTATTACGAATTAATTTTAAATAAGCAATTTTAATTTTGCAATAATAAGTAGACTAATTTCATTGTTTAATTAAAATATAATATACACTTATTAAAAAAAATTGATTTTTGAAATTTTAATATTTTTAACTTTAAACTATTATTGATATTATGTAGGGAAAAATTAACAATTTTACCATTCAATTATAATTTAGTATAATATAATTAACTTTGATATATATAAATACATATATATAAAAAGCATATATATATGAAAATATAACTTACTTTTGGGTCTTTTTCATAGTAATGCTGTTGGGTTCTGATCCATCTACTAACTAAATGATCCTTGACAGTGTGAGCCAATGCGAAATAATAATCTCTGGGAGTCGCGACATTTCGATCTTTAACTAACGTATAATGCACATGTTGATTAAATGACTTTTTAATATTAGTTACATTTTCTACCTGTGCAATTCCCTTCACACTAATCTGCTTCTTTTTGTCGTGATCTGACAAAGGCTGTGCCATTTCTCCGGAGTCAGGACGATTTCTCCTTTAACCTTCAGGAGATCGTCTGGTACTCCTTTGACCTCAGTCACCCACCAAGGTCGCGCATGCGCCTCGCGATATTACTCAAATCAGTTTTAAATTCTATGAAGTAATTACAAAAAATTTATTAAATAACTGAAATACTTTTTTAAAAAATATTTAAGTAAATTATAAATAATTTTTTACGTTGTAGAAATATTATTTTAAAATTTTTAACTCGGTTATTTTAATTTATATCACAAATTAGATGTGACGTGCACCATTATCGATGTGTGCTCGTGCGGAAATGACATCATCTACTGTTACTTTAACATTTCTATGATTTGTTCAGTGATGTCACACCGTTATTTAAACTTATTTTGTTAACTTAGATGATGTAAATAATAAGAAAACATTTATTTAACCGAGTGAAATCACTCCAAGGAAAAAAAATTATATTAAATAAAAATTTAATTTTTTAAACTTTTTCAATGACGTATGAAGGGCAAACACTTTCGTAGATTTTATGCAATTGACATGACGATATTGCAATTCTTTTCATTTTTTTATAGGGTTGAATAATCGCTTTCGGGTAAAATGATTGCCAATTTCAAACGCATACCTTAAAATCAAAATATTTTAAATAGATTTTACTATCGATTTGCAATTGTAAAATATTTTATGTTTAAAATCTTTAACATATTTTGCTTTTTAAAATATCTTATAGATTTTTTTCATCGTGCAAAAATTATAATGTTAACGGCTATGATATACGAGGATAAAACTGAAGGTTATTCGTAGCTCATCGTGGCTCTCGTCGAAAAACGAAATACCAAGGACAAAGATAGTTTGATTTTTTTAAAGACAATTTTATTGCTAATGTTTATTTTTTAAAAGTAAAGCAGAAAAAATATTTACAATTCTTAAAAGAATAGTTTTTGTGATTGAAAATTTAGTATAGTTAAATTTATTTATAACGTAAATGAAAATATTTAAAATTTTATTTTTATTTTATTCTATATATTGATAATTGTTTTATTGTTTAATAGTTTTGTTATATTGTCAGCGGCACACCCAGAGGATCAAAGCGCCTTGGTACCCTCCAAAGAAAGAAGAAAACAAATACAGTAGTAGAAAATTTTCCAAAAGTCTTTTCCTAATTAAAATTTTATTTTATTTTATTTTTTTATTTATATTGTGTCGTGTCTTCTTTCTATACTACTTATAAATTAGCGGTCGTATAAGGTAAGAATTTTATTGAATACGCATTAAAACTTTTTTCATTCGTTCAACTCGATTCTCCAAAAATTAAATCCCTAGTGCCCCACTGCATATTATAATAAAGAAATGGTTGATATGGCACTGTTTCTTTTTATTTCCTTTCAACTTAACAATTCTGCAGTTTTGTACATTTTTAATTTTTGTCTCTATCTGCCTTGTGAGGACTAAGGCAGCTTTTTCAAATCATACCCATCGTGAGGCTAGACATATAAAAAGGCGGTCGGGTGGAAAGGGACGGGGTCCGACATATACGAGACAGACCATCCATGAAAAATCCTAGGGGTTTTTTATCCGGGTTTCCCAGAGTGAAAGTTTATTAAGTTATGGCAACGCAGCACTTGGGCGATCTGCCTAGGCCCTAGGAGATACCTTCTGGGAGGTCTTTTTAAGAGAAACTGGCCCCTATTTAGACGTTACAGACGTTGACGGCCGGATGGCCGAGCGGTCAAGGTGGCAGCTACCGCTCTGGGTGACCTGAAATCGAATCCGGACGGGTCAAAGAATCTTAAGAATTTTTTCGGGGGTGGTCCGTTCGGATATGTTCGGCCCCGTCCCTCACCACCCGGTCGCCCCATTGTGGGCCTGGCCGAACCCATAATGGTCCTGCTATAAGATGCCCTCTTAGTGCCCACAGGGCGGAAAGAGTAAAAAAAAGGCGTTACAGGCGTGGAGAAAACCCGGAAAACTCTATGTGGCCAGCCCGTCCGAGCGGAAGATTATAGAATTTTAAATTATTATTATTTGTAATAATAAAATAACTTAAGACTGTCGGGTTAACGAAAGGGTTTAGTTTATTTGGTTACGGCAACACATGTGGATGAGCTGCCGACGAGAAATGCCTCCCTGAAGTCTTTTATGGGAAACTGACTCCTATTTAAGTGTTACTAACATATAAAAAACTCGGAAAACTGCAGGTAACCACTCCGCTGGTAAGGCGCGAACCCACGACAATTGCCAGTGTTCAGTGGTTTTATCCACTCGGCCGTTAAAAAAGGGAATAAATTTTAAATTATCGTTAGAATCCAAAGTAATTCTGCTAAATATTTAATTTAAAATGTGCAATGGTATTATTTACTGCCAAATTAGCAAACACATTTCATTTCAATTGGAAATGTGCTTGCATAAAATGGATTCACTCATGCGAATAAATAAATTTTGAATGATGATTTTTACTCTATTAAATTGTAATAATTTTCGTTTAAATTTTAATTTGATAAATTAAAAGGATTCATAGTCATATCTTCGATTGACTACATATCTCAATTTGATGTTTAAAATTATATACAGTAATGACAATAATGTATTGTGATGTAGCAAGGACTATATACTACAAGGATAGCCAGATCCCTATTCTACAATGTTAGCCAGGAATGCCAAGTTAGTGACGTCAGCACGAGACCTGACCTCTCTGTTTACATAGAGCAGGGTGTGCACGTGTTTAGTTTTCGTTTTTAATATTCGTCCAATTTTGTGATTAACGAAGTGATTTATTTTAATATTTCTGTAATTGTTTTATTTGACTAAGTTTTTTATAAGGTAAGATGATTTAAATATAAGTCATTAAATATTTAAAGCTATATTTTTATGTTAGGTGAAGAACAAAATGCTGAGTACTAGGTGTGCTGTGTATGGTTGCAATAATAACCTTCTTTTTTCAAATTGGAAGCAACCTGTTTACATCGGGTTTGATCAAAAAATGACAAGAGAAATACTTTTAAAATTAATAGCAGAACTTTATTTACTATCGTATAATGTAGTAGCTTGCGTCAGTGACTGTAGTTGCAGTAACATAAGTTTATGGAAAGAATTGAATGTGAATATCAATGAAACGTTTATTATGAATCAATTATTATTATCAATGAAACGTATATTAGAGATATAAATATGTGGTTCGACATTTTTAATAGCTATGCACCAAAAGGTTCTGTTCCAAGCAAAAATGGATATGGTGTAGACTTGGAATTACAAGAAGAACATTTAAATAAAATGATAAAAATAATCTCAACAATGAGAGCAAGTGGAAAAAATGCCCTCCAAATTTTCCAGAAAGGAATGATAATCTCAATGAAATCGCTAATTGATCTTTTTCAAGATATGAAATCGACTTTTGATATAAAATACATCTGCACTTAAATCAAGATTGTCTGGAAAAAATTTTTTTTTTTCAAATTAGAAGCCGGGGTCCTAATGAACATCCAAGCCCATTAAATGCTATATATAGGATTAGATTGATTATTTTAGGTAAGAATCCTGGTATTTTAGAGTCAAAAGTAAATACTACAGATCGAAGACAAGAGGAATATATTATACCCAAAGTTTTAGAGAAAGCACATGTAGAAGTATCAAGTGAAAATACAGACCAATATACTGAATGTAAAACTACTTTTTCTTCAAATAAATCTTCAGGAAACTCTACACGCAATCTAGACTTTAACACAATCTCTGAAGAAACTTCCTACGATACTCTCGAGTATATAGCAGGATATTTTGCCTATAAATATAAAGAAAAATACCCAAACTTAATTAATTCCACTAACAAAATTAAAAATCATCACAACTATAGCATTCCGTCATGGGTGCAACATTTATCTTATGGAGGGCTTATTAAACCTACTGATGAATGGCTAGCAAAAATTATAGAATGGAATAAATATTTCGAAATATATCACGATGAATCGTATAAAAAAGGCCCCGGAGTTGTACAGAATTAGTCAGTGGAAACAGTTTTACCTTTTACTTTAATAAAAGATTTTTGTAAATTAAGAACTATAATAAGAATTAATTATAGAAATCTTAAACAAGAAAACTATAAAATATTGAAAAGAATGCCTTCTGAAAATGGTGATTGTCGAAAAAAAATTAAAAAGTTAAGTAAGATAATCACATAATAAAAAATATAGCTCATTAATTTGTTAAATAAATATTAGACAAAAGACTTGTAAATTTATTGACGTACAGTACACTTATTAAATCCGAAAATTCTACAGTAGTTTACATTTAGTAGTAATTTAATAATTAATTAAGAAATGATTTAATATTTTATCGTATTTTGTTATTTGAAACATCTGTCATGTTGAAGTAGAGGGCTTGCTGTGACGTCACATAGATCCAAGGTCACGCTAACAAATATACAGGATCTGGCTATCCTTGTAGTTTAAAGTCCTTGGTGATGTAGGACGAAATTTTGAAAACAGGACAAGAATAAATTTTCAAATAATTATAATTACTTGGAAAAAACTTTATAACGTTTTGCAGTAAGCACTTTTCAAAACTGTCTGGAGTAGGACTGCACATTACAGAATGATGCTGTACCTAAAATTAGTTTATTTTAAATTAGATATTTTCGAGATATAGCCTAATATATAGGCCTACATATTGTTAAAGTTTTCATGTTCTGCCGAATGGTCATGCTATGAGACATCAACCTTCTACTGTGGTGGATCTGGATTAGAATTCGGTCTAGATACTTAAGATAGATTGCAGAGACGAAGTTTTCTCGAAACCTCATCTATGTAAAAATGGCGTCTAGCCATCGACTGACTAGGCCGCGGTTTAAACTTCATTGCTATGACTTGAATCGTTTGTTTTTGAAAGCTGTTTAAAAGAACTTCGGAGAAACTTCGGCTACTACATTTAACACTGTTTTCAGATGTCGGTGAACCAACAGGGCGAATCGTTTCGTTACGTCACAAAAATGACGGGGGACGTAAACACAGGAAAGTGTGGAACTTCATCAAAGGAAGAAGAGGTATTTTCGCCGAATTAATTCGGAACTATCCAATAAAAAGTTAAATATAATTTTGACATCTGAAACAGATTGTTTTATCAAGTAGAAAATTTCAAAAATAGATTATTTTAATCATCTGGTAGATGTGACAAGGAAATCCGAACACGAATCCAAATGGTGAAATCAGCCTTCTCTAATCTTCAGCGAACACTTACAGATAAGAAACTAAGCCTGGAGATAAAGCTTAAAGTACTACGCTGCTACTTATGGTCTATCTTACTGTACGGATGCGAGACGTGGACCCTGAATAAAGGCACAGAAAAAAGGCTGGCAGCATTCGAGATGTGGTGCTAACGCCGCATGCTACAGATAAGCTGGACAGAGCGAGTGACTAACACACGCGTGCTGGAACGGTCCAGTGTGGACTACTATACAGTACTTAATTCAGTTAATTTTTATAAAATGCGGAAGCGCAGGGCTCGGGGAAAGTGCCCCAAATGACTGGTGCTAAGGGTGGTACTGCACTTTCCCTTGACATATTCTATCAAGCTAACCAACCTATATCTTATTTAAATATTTATTATATTTTATAAAATTTTCTGACTTTTTGAATAAAAAGTTTCAAAAATATATTTTCTACTTATTTTTACAAAATTATCTTATACGAGTTTTAAATTATTACATAAAAACTATAAATTAAGGCATTAAAATTATATAACTACGAAAATAATTGCTATTTCATGTATCTTTAATATAACTTTTAATAATTATGGAACAAAGTGTTGTAACTTTTTATTTGACTTTTAAACTATTATTTCAATTTATTGAAATAATATATTAAACAATTGGCAATCAAGAATGGGTTAAAATACCTAGGTAGAAATAGAGTCAATAACGGTTGCTACCAGACTCGCCAATTTTCCAGATTTTTTTTTTCTACCCTGTGAGCACTAAGGGGGTCTTTTTTGCAAGTCCATTATTGGTTCGGCTAGGTGGTGAGTGACGGGGTCCTACATAGACCCCGTCACTCACCACCTAGCCGAACCACTCGGACGGCACCCAGAAAAATTTCTTGGGGTTTCTCGACCCATCCGGATTGATTCGGGTCCCCCAAAGCGGTAGGCGGTACCTTAATCGCTCTGTCATTCGGCCGTCGAAGGGTGGATTAGAGAGTGACTAGCTAACTATCGATTACATAATTTATCGCTACAAACTAACCTATTGGTAAGCATTTCTGAACAGATCCTAGGAAGCTATGTCACTGCTTTTTTTAGCTTTTTTTAGTTACCTTGATCGCTCGGTTATCCAGCTGAGTTGTCAAGGTGGCAGCCTACCACTCTAGAGGACTCGGGTCGAATCCGGACGGGTCGAATAAATCCCCAGGAATTATTCGGGGGTGATCCAACCGGATATGTCGGTCCCCGTCCCTCACTACCCAGCCGTCCCATAATGGGCTTGCTAAAAGAGGCTCTCTTAGCAAGTGAGTACAGGGCGGAAAAAAAAGTAAATTGCTCCCGTTTGAGATCGGAAAGAGTTTTAAAAATATCTAGTAATAAAAATTAATGAAATTATTTCAAAAAGTTGCAACGATACAATGTTTACAAAAATGATTTTAATACAGTTATTAATATATATATAATAAAACATATGCAAATGATTAAAGGAACAAAGAAAGATATATAGCAGAAACATATTTATTGACTTTGGCAACATTGAGATTTTTTTTTTTTAATCAACTAGTACCGTTCTTTTAAAATTCAGATTTGGCAACACTAATTGACTCATACATGGCGTGTGACATCCACATGGTTTCGGAAGAAGAGATAAATAAACAGATTAAAGAAAAAGATTATGTTATAGTAAAGAAAGAAAATTATTCCAGATTAATTCAAATTGCTAAACGCAAGTAAGGCATTTAAATTTAATTTTTATTAATCAAATATTAGAATAGATGACAAATACCAGTGTTACTTTCAGCTCTTAGGATTAAACTGTGGGTTTTTTGTGATTTATGAATTTTACATTTGTTAAATATAGTTGAAATGAGAAAATTCTTTAATGTTTACATTAGGATATAAATGGATATTACAAATTTTTGCCATTAATCTAATTTATGTTGTATATTAGACATTCCATAAACAAATAAAAGTAAAATTACAATATTTTTTTTTTTACAATTTATTCTATTTAAAACAATTTTAATAATTATAAGCATGTTCAAAATTATAAAATATTAAGATTTTTGCAAAAAATATTAATGAAACAAATCACTCTGCTTTTGATCTTCCTTGAGTTCAATAAACCATAGCACCATACTACAAAAACACCTTACAAGTAACTACTCTTACTTAATTCAGGAACTGCTAGTATTCTAAGAAACATTTAATATTCAAAAAAGACTTGTTTATTAAGTGACACTGAATATGATTGAATGTAAGGTTGAAAATGTTTTATACACTTCTCAAAAGTTAAATCACAACACCATGAAGGAATACATGTAGCCACATGCACATTGCAGGACCAGTATAGGTGAGAAACATATGCAAATGATTAAAGGAACAAAGAAAGATTTGCAGCAGAAATATGCTTTATTCAGTAACAAATATGGCTCCCACAGGTAGCTGTTTACAGGCTGTTATATGGCAAAATGTGGCGAAAACGACTGGCATATAGCATTCCCTGGGATATCATCACTCATCCACAGCTGTCACTACAGAGAAAAGTGAGATTAGTCTGTAAACAATACTTGATGCCATTCAGTAGTCTAGTTGTGATGATGATGACATCATGCCAGGCGTGCAGCACTGTGTCAAGCAGTTAATGACACCCCTGTTGTTGATTTTCATGCATGCAACCCAACTTCATGCAACATATTGTGAATGGTGGACACAGATGCACCCATTGATGGCCACAGGCTACTTTTGATGACGTGCTGTGGCAAATGGGTCCTGACTGGCCGTTCGGCAAATCTGCCAGTCTGTATGCTCTGTCATGTGCCAGTGCGATCCATTCCCTTTTCAGCATGTTTGCAGATGTTCCTGCATCCATCGTGTCACATATCACTGGTTGGTATTCACCTCATGCCCAATGCATGTGACAATTATATGCATCAGAAAACTGAGGTTATACAGCTCCAGGATAAGGTCTCATTCCACAGCCATTAATTGGTGGTATTTGGCTCATTGTTGTCTCTGAGGCATTTTCTATGCCTCTTCAAAAGTTTTGCTGCTGTGAACCATCGCTGATAGCATTTACAGCCAAAGCCAGCTGCTAGTCTTTATAGCCTGAAACTGGGTACCACATAACCCAATGAGTATGCAAACTTAATCATTTTCATATCTTTGTTACCTCTACTGGTCCTGCAATTTGTATGTAGCTATGTGCATTCTTTTGTGTTGTTGCAATTTTACTTTTGAGGAGTGTATGTAAAAATAAGCAGTTCCTGAATTAAGAGTGGTTACATGTAAGTTTTTCACTTTTTATATTAAGAATTCATAAAACCAAAAATACTATATCTGATTTACAGATATTTTTATTTACTATTATTCTAATCTGTTTTCAGGCAGATAAAAGTATTAGTAAATACAGAAAACTTCATTGTTACATGAATTATACAAGGATAACTAGTGAAAAAATTTTATTTTATTCTGATTTTAATTGTTTTGGTTTTACTGAAATAAATTAAATTTATATAACTCCAAATAAATAAATAAATATATATATTTTTNGAAGTTTAATACAACTATTTTGTTACTGAAAATGTTATTTTCCAATTTTGTTTTTAAGATGAATTGACAAAAACCAACAAATAGCATCATAAAATAGAGAAGTTATATGTGTGTGTGTATGTACAGTACATAAATATATATATATTTATTTATTTAATATATTGTAATATATTGGTACTTTTATTTTAGGCCAGTATATGTAGGAAAACAGAAACTTTATTTGGATGGAGTTATTGGTCATCCATATAATTCAACATTTGAAATCAGAGGTGGTGATTTGATAAAAAGTGAACAGAAGTCCAAGTCAGAATTTTTAACACTTGAAGGTAATTTTCTTAATAGTATTTTGTTAAAATTATAATTGTCGTTTTCATACAATGCATATTTGGAAGAAAATAAAAAACAAAATTGTCATATTTCAGTTATAGTGGTATAAATTGCCAGTTATATTTGTAGCAATTACGTTGTATTAATGACTTTAGCTCAAAATCAGTATGGCATTTCATTCTGTGTCTTATCTTCTATAAATATATATGGTGGAAAAAATATATAAAATCAAGAACATAGAATGAACTCAATCTACTGGTTATTTAATATAAAAAAATATTGAATAAAAAATATACAAATGAATAACAAAGACATTTCTTGTAATTATTAGTGAATTGATATTTAATGCCAAAAAAAATGTTTCTGTATTTTATACTTTATAAATAATTTTTATTTTATTATGAATATTATCTAAAAAAAAAAGTTATTTGATTCTTTTCAAGTTGAATTATCCTATAAGTTTTTCTTTTAAACTAACTAACATCATTCATGGGATATATTATGTAAATGTATAAATTTAACATTTACATGCTTATGCATGTTTGCATAAATTACTTTTCTTGAAAAACTAAAATTATTGCAGAAAGATAATGTATCAAATTGACTTTGTTCACATAAGGATATTGACAGATTATATATATATATATAGTGTATAAGCAGGGATTGGCAGTATTAACTACTAGTTACAAATACTGTCTCAATTTAGTAATTAACCTACTAGTTAACCTACCTGATTAACTTCAACCATTCTAACCACTATTCCTTTTAATTCACTATAATGTTGCCTTGGCATAATCTATTGTATTAAGCTGAGTGAACATGTCTTGATTTTTATGAAGATCAGTTTAACTTTTTTACTCATTTTTCAGCTGTTGAAATTATTATATTATCAGTTGACAAAAGTTTAATTCAAACAAAAACAACCAGTCAGGTATTGCTATGTTTTGCAATTCACTTGGCTTATGTAAATATATTTTTATTTTACTTTGTACTTGCATCAATTTATTAGTTATTACTCAACTTCTTCAATTAAAATGCTTGGCAGGAATTTTCACATAAAATCAAAAATTTAGAAAAAAAAACAATATTAGTTTGAGTTTGGTCCATCAGTAGCCAAAACCACTGAATGCTGATAGTTATTTGGAGGTTTGTGCTTCACCAGTGGGCTGACCGTGTGGAGTTTTCCCGGTTTTCTTTGTGTCTGACACCTAAATAGGGTCAGTTTCTCATTAAAAAAAAAAAAACCCTCTTGGAATGCACTTTCCTATTGGCAGATTGCCCAAGTGTTGTCTTAAACCAGTGTTTCTCAATGGGGGCAATATCACCCCCATGTGGGCGTTTTTCCATGTCAAGGGGGCGATTTGTAACAATTTATATTTTGGGGGGGCGAAAAACAACTTTCTGGGCAATATAGTAAAACATTATATTAAGAATAATTAGATATTTGTTTAATTATTGTACGATATAATGAATAAAATAACATTATATTAGTCAATAGTCTATTCAATGCAGTATGAATTTAGCATTAGCCTTGGCCCTCGGCATCGGAAGTTTGAAGTGAAGGGGGTGATACTATGTAATGGTTTTATTGAAGGGGGTGACAATTCGTTAGAGGTTGAGAAACATTGTCTTAAACCATCAACCCAACCCAACCCTAGTTTGAATATTTTACAAAACTATATCTGAGTAATTTAAATGTAATCAACTAATGGTTTCAATTGCTTTTATAAAAACAAAGTAACTACACAATTAACTAACAGTTAAGTTACATTGCTTTTTATATTAATTAACAATGTAGTTAACTAATTTTTATATAGATAGTGGCCAACATTATGCTTAAGACATAAATTATGATATGTATCTCGTTTTTAAAAACACTCAATCATTCTTTTCTTAAAAAAATATCCTTATTATTCTTAGATTAAGAATATTAAAACAGAATAAGAAATATATCTGAAGTACAATTTCTAAATTTAATTTTATTAGATTTATGTATTTTTCTAACAAGTTATAAGTATGAATAGCTTTTCTAATACTGATCAGAACAAATTAAAAAATGTTATATGATTTTTATATAATCATCATAAATTTAATATGATTGAACATGAATTTTGGGTGAAAGATATGGAAATCAAGTAGGTCTACTTGTTTTTCATGGCTTTCTCTTTTGAATATATTACTGTATCACTGAGTAATAAGTTACTTAACTGGAAAAGTAATCTGTTTATATTTTTCTGAATTTCAATGCCACAGAGTAGAAACAGTTTTAAAACAAATTCTGGAGATTGAGAATTTATTGTCTAACTTCATTTTTATATTGCTTCATTATACCATCAATCATAAATAAATAAATATAATGTTTAAAATCATAAAGAACTTTAATTGTATTTCAGATAATGAATTACGTGATAACCGAAATCTTATAGATGATCAAACATCGCAAAAACTAACAAAAGATGAAATTGAAACATTCAAAGCAGAAGGCTTATCAGGAGAAGTAAGTATTGAGTATTTACATCTAACATTTTTCTTTAAGTCTTTTTAAATTTTACTTCCAAAATCAATAATGTAATACATTTTTTAGAAAATAATAGAAAATCTCATTGAAAATAGTTCTACATTTAAAGAAAAAACCCATTATGCTCAAGCCAAATATTTGAAAAAAAAGCAACAAAAATATTTAAATTATGTTAAAATTCTTAAACCAACAACCCGTTTGTTAGCAGAAATGTATTACGAACAAGGACCAATGAAAATTTGGTAGGTCAGTTATTTTTATTAAAAAGTACTATGATATTTAAATCTGTATTTAAGTTTTAAAAATCCTTGGTAAAATTATGAATCAATCTTTTATAATCTATAATGTTTTAATACAAAATTGATAAAATGATGTTAAGAAATCAGATTTTATTAGCTTAAATATTTAGAAAAGATGAATAAATTTTCATAAAAGTGTAATTTAGTCAGTTTTCTCTGTTTAAAAATCTAATGAACATAATTTATTCATTAAAATTTTTTATTTTATAAATTTATTTGTCATCTTTTAATTTCATACATATTGAACTACATGATTTGTGTAATAGTGATCAAATCTGTATATATATATTCAATTGGTTGACTTTATATATAACAAAAAAAAAAAAAATTATAAGTTTATTTTTAAAGTTGAATATAAATATTGCAGATTTTTAAGTATAAATTAATTAGAATAAAATGAATGCAAGAATTCAAATTTCAATTTGCGTCGGGGTATAATTTCGCATATAAATACATACAAATAATTTTTAATTGGGGCCGGAGACTAAAGAAAACAATAATTTAGAAAAAAATGTTTAATAAAATCTTAGGTAATACATATGTATAACAAATTAGGCCTATATTATTTTACAATTTTTCACATTTACTNAAATATAATATTTAAACATGCATTATTATATGGCTAGGATAGATAGGGTGTGACCCATATCCTATTTCTGAGATCAAAGAATGTTTCAATGAGAGGAAATAAAACTCATATTTAATCACTGAGCCTTCTACTGCTCCCCAGAAAGCCTTCAGTGTCCACAAGGGGGCATTATCACCCACTTTGAGAAAGGATGGTCTAGAATCTTCAAAATTTTTGTTTCTTGAATTTGTCAGTTATGTATCAGTACTATTATTGAAATAAATCTCATTTTTCTTATTTCATATTCCACTTCATATTTTACTCTATTTCCAAACATTAGCCAGAGCACAATTAATTAAAATTATTAAAATTCACCATTAAATACTTTTAAAAATTAAATATTTTAGACTGTATATAATTAGATGTAGAATGTGTAATTTATTAAAAATTTAAATAAATTCACATAGGAAAAAGAAAAAATGATAAGGAGAAACAAAAGACAAGAAGAACAAAAGAAAGCTAAAGCAATATTAAAGGAAAATAAAATGGATGGGTAAATATAACATTATGATTTTAAGTTTATTGAATTAATTTTTTTATAACAAATATTTATATTATAACAGTCTCTTAATAGCATGCAAACATCATCCTAAAAATATGCTATTGAAATTACTGGAATTTCTTTCTCCTTCAAGTCCATTTGCAGTATTTTGTAATTATCAAACTCCATTAGTTGAGTGCTATAGTGAATTGAAAGAAAAAGGAAATGCAATATTAATGAATCTTACTGAAAGTTGGTTAAGGAATTATCAGGTAAATTTCTTAAAATTTGTTTTAAACATATAAATAGTGAAATGTAAATTTTTTGTTATGATAATATGAAATAATTATCATACTAAAATTTTACTGTTTATGAAAATTTTCAAATTATTGTATAAATGGTTCATTCAGTATGAACTTGAAAATATAACTATTACATAACCATAATTTTTAGTTTCATAAAAAGATTTGGCTTAAAATGAATAGATTGTTAATATAAAAATCTATATGAGTTTCATTTTAAAATTGTATCAGTATTACTTATATTGAATCGTGATATGAAGTAAAAATAATCATCATTTTTAATTCTAAAAACATCAATTTTTTTGCTTTAAAAATTACAAAATGGTTATTAGAAAGCAAATATTTTGTCTGTATAAATTAGTGAAAGAAATTGTACTAATTTTTAAAAAGTAGAAACATTTCTTTACAATTTAACATTATTATATCTTTTGACTGATCTTGATCTTTAGAATTAAATGCATTTTTGGCCAGATGGTCACATGACAAGGTGTCATTGTACTGTAATGGAATCCAGGTTCAAATATGACGCATGTCCCATAATTTATCACAAGTAGTACTGGAAAGGGTATTGTTCTCCATTACATTGCTCACTAATTCTAGTGAGTCAGGTGTACATTGAGTATAATGAGCAAAATTGTGACTGGGGTCACATAGTCTTAAATATATTGGTGCATCATGTTTACAATTCAGTCATATAAAGTTTCTAATAACATTGTATACTGTAAACATTGTAACTGAATAAAATGTATAATGGAACAAAATGAAATTAATAATTTAACAATAAATGATATTTGTAAATATGTATTTATTTAATTTTGAAGAAAGTCAAAAATTGGTAAAAAAATTTTAAACATTTTAGAAAATTCAACTGTGTGAAGATTATTATTTGATTTGTTTCTTTATCAAAAGTATATTTTAAATGCAAACTTAAAACATTTTTTAACTACAAATAACAAATTCTGTAGTCCTCAAATAACTATTATAATAATCAATAACTCAAATGATATTTTATAATAATGTTTATTAAGATTAATTTAGTTCCAATATATTACAACTTTTTTTGCTATGTGTATTTGAAATGAAACATGTAATTAAGGTGCTAACTTAAACAGTGAAACATAAGTTCACAATTTAGCTTTTGATTAAAATTACATATACAATTTCATATTTAATAAAATATTTTATTTTGTAATCTATTGATATTATACATTAAAAAATCAAATAATTGAATCTTAAGAAACTTAGATCATAAAATCAGTGATCACAAAGTACAGGATGTAAACAAAAACAGTACACCAGGGTATATCTTACTTCTGCTTTGTATTAGCTAGATACAAGTGCGTAAGAGTATAGTTAATCAGTAATGGGCTATTTGATGGCATAATTGCCATGCAAACGTAGTTTCCTTTTCTCATGGGGACCCCATAAGATGATGATATATTGATTTGAATTGTTCTAATTAGTTTATGATAAAATTTTTACATATTCATATTTTATTATCTCATGTTCTGTAATTGAAATTACATTTGACAAATACAGTAAGTAAAATACAAGGTGTACAAAAATTATCTGTACAACTTCTGTCTTTTATAATAGACAAGTGTAAAAATTCCCATGTTCTGTTATTTTGCAGAGAAATTTATTAAGTTTTTCTATATAAAGTTTTTTGTTAGTACGAAGTTTATTCATTTGTTTTGTTTTGTTTGGATTGGTTATGGAGGTGTAATTCATTGGCTGAGTATATCTTCTGATATCACATACTGTGGTTTCTTCCTTTGGGGATTTATCAAAGATCTTGTGACAATATGTAGGTGACAAGTATTGTTGATTTAAAAAAATAATTACAGCTGCTATTGGATAAATTGATATGGAAATACTGCAACATATATGGAAGCATTTGGAGTATAAGGTGGATGCTTTGCAACACGTTAATGGTGTATGTATCAAATATTTGTAACATTGTTATTTTAACAAAAGAAACTTTGAAAAATACATATTCTAAAATTCTTGTTCGATGATCCTATATGTGCCATCATAAATTTCATTAAGGGATAATTGTACAGGTAATTTTCAGACTTGTACAATTTCCTGTGTTATCTACAAGTATGTAATTCATTTTTCAAATTTGTGTAAAAATCATTGAAATAGTCATCATCAAAATTTGCTACTTTTCTAATGTTATTCTGAGTGATATTTTTAAAATTTTTTCTTCTTGGATTATTTCATGCAATAATTTCAACAAAAGAAAAAAACTTTATAAATGATACAATTTTTTAAAAAACACTACACTGTCAGTACATAAAAATTACAAGAAAGCATATTGAATTTCAAAACTAAATGAATTTTATCATAATTTTGTTTTTATTATAAAATTGAATACAAACTGTATTGCTTAGTTAAAAAAGAAAAGGGAAAAAGTGCAAATGGAAAATTGGTCAAAATCATTTTTCAGATTCCTCAGAAGAAAAACAAAACACCACATAAAACAGTAACATATAATTTTTTAAAAAAGATACGTTATTTATTTTTTTTTTTTCAATTTTATAAGTTTATCTGTAATATAAACTTTTTTAGAGTTCAATTAATATATTTTATTTATCTATATTTTGAATTTCTGAATTTAGTTTATTCCAAAGTTCTATAGATATATAGAAGATTGACTTCCTGAGTGCAGAACAGTAATGGATTAGAAGTAACATGTTCTTTTAAAACTGTGTTCATAGTTCTCATATGATATATCTATAATATATAGTATTTCTGAAGAGTTCTCAGGCCTATACCTGTGCAGAAAGCATTCTATTAGTTACACTGTACAGTTTCTGGATGTTTAAAATAGTTTGTTCCTATTGTAAATTTATTTTATTATTTTTAACAGATGCTTTAGTGTCATGTATAAATTAATGTACATTATAAAAACGTCTTAATACATCCTATACATTGTAAGTTCACTATTAACTAATATATGGTTTTAAAACATGCACAAATTAATAGAATTTTGGAAATAATGGATGCTTCTTCCCTTATTAGTCCATTAAATCAAGGGCCTGCTGTATTCCATGATATCATTCATAATCTTGATTTAATGATATAAATCCATTTCTAAAATTTAAAGCAAAATTGTTATTTTTTATTTAAAGCAAATAAACTTTTGAGTAGATTAAAAATAGCTTATCAGGATGACAATTTAATTTTAATACAGTACTCCCAATAAGACCAAGACACATATGCAACATCAGCTTTTTTGCCTGATAAGAATAAAACCAGTGTTTATATTTGTTTATCATACTGTCAACATCGATAAACTCGTTATGTTAAATGAAATGGAATGTAGTGAGTGTGGTTTAAAATAGTCACAGACAAGGTTTAAATAGGTGCATTAAGATAAGTAAGCACATAAAGAACAACAACAGCAGTGACAATATTAAAGTACTGTATTTAAGTGCAGGTTGTGTTTACCTACTTCACAAAAAAGTTTTTTAATGTTGATGCTCCTAATATCAGTACATATTGTTCTATCAGAGACAGTATACTT